AAGTTTGGTCGATGCTTAGGGTTGGTGTTAGCGCATAGTGGCTTGTACAAGCATTGTCAACACTGAGGTTAGCATGGGGACGAAGCCAACGCGGCGTTCGACAAGACAATGAATCTTCCCTAACAGCAATCAAACGTGCAGGCAGTGCGTCTTACTTTGCAAGGATAAAACTGAGGCATTGCAAAACAGTCCATGTCTGGTGTGCAATGTGTACAGCGCGTGAAGTGGCATGCAGTTGCACTGGGAAAACCCATATCTGAAAGGTCCATGCGTAAATTAAGGATAAACTCTTTCGCTGGTGAAACCGCGAGACCCGTCACTCCAGATAGTATGCGGCGGCGCTCTTTCCAGCTAAACGGAAAACCAACCCAGAGGGCCGTCATCGGAATGGCGAAAAGCATTTTGCCGCTGGTCAAGAAGCAGCGTTTATGCATAGTGACTGCACGATATGGGAATGCCATTCGAAGTCTCCTTAGGCTGCCTATCACGTTGCCGTGAGGGCGCACGACCATTACGCGGCAACCTATGACGATTCAGACATATGCGGCTGCAGGTACATAGAACTGGATCCGTTCTAAAAGGCACTGGCATACGTGATGGGCTAATGAAATTTGAATGTGCTGTACAGGAAGTACGAAATGTTGGGGGGCTGAGCGCTTCACTAGTTGATTGACCTTGCTGTGAACTACTGAAGTAAGCCTCTAAGCAAAGCTGCGTTGCAGCCCTGGTTATGTAGCTCTCGCAGCCTCGCCTAACTACCACAAGTGGGAAAAGCTGCAATTGTTCGATTGAACAGGAGGTGGGTTTCCCAAGCTCGAGTATTGATAAAGGCGCCCGCCGGATGGTGCGACTTTTATCTGCATCAGCTTCATGAGGTCCGTACAGTACTACACGAGCTCGTACCTCATTGAACCCTTTTGTTTGTCTCGCGGCTGGGGCAGCTACCCATGCGCAAGCATTCTCTGTTCATCATTTCGTCACAACGACGATGCCTGTGTGGTGTGATGAACAAATTGTCCATTGGGCATGCTGGTGTGAATTGACGGTGATACAGGGAGTACGGGGTTCAAGTGACCACAACGCGTAGCTGACGCTCATGTATAGACCGTATCAGAGAGACCACAATGTTTTATGTAGAGTTGCCCATAGATTAGCAGCATTGCGATCTTCTGCGGATGTTTCGTTAAGAATGTGCGATACAGACGTGCCTCGGACAGGAACAGAGCAAGGCCCCGACCGCCATGTTTATACCGTGCTATACAAAGACGGCACTTCGTTATAGCTGGGAAGCCGGTAGTTTATTGTTACAACGGTGTTAATGAAGATTCTATTAAGTAGTGTATAATCTTCCTTATGCGTTAAGCAGATGAGACGGCAACTGCTTAGGGAAGGGGTAGTCAGTCTTTTCGTTGAGCAGTTTGTGAGTATAGAGTGCTGTTTAACAAGCATAAATACAACAATAGACTTCAGTCCTAGTTAGACTAGCTGCAATGTTGAGTTGCGCTCTACACTACAACACTACATAAAGCGGCGGAGGGAATAAAGATATTCATGGCATTCAGCGCTGCGGCATGTGGAATTCGAATCCCCATTCTCATGGACTAAGCCATATACTTATTCATGGCATTCAGCGCTGCGGCATGTGGAATTCGAATCCCCATTCTCATGGACTAAGCCATATACTTCTTTGTTTGTCTGGCGCGTGGCCTTCTGGATGCAGAAGGTACGTAACACTTCGATGCTTTTCCGCCCTTTCACGTGCCCTGCGCAAAAGCACGGACCAAACGTATTTACATTCGCTGCGATTATGCCGTGGAGTGCTGGCAAATGTAACATGTTATTTCGCTCAATTACCTCAGGATTCAGCTTCGCGCAAAGACGACGTTTCGTTATACCTGGGAGGCCGGTAGTTTACTATTACAACAGTGCGACTGAAAATTCTATTAATTAGTGTGTATTCTTCTTTAGACGTTGGGCAGATTAGATGGCATCTGTTTAGGCAAGGAGTAGTCAGTCTCTTCGTTGAGCAGTTTGTGAGTATAGAGCGCTGTTTAACAAGCGTAAATACAACAATAGACTTCACGTCTAGTTGTGACATATACACTCGGGTGCGCTGCATTGGCGGACGCCCACTTTGCCTCCTCCGACTAACCTGGAGCGGAATGCCTGTAGATGTATGGCATTTGTGTAAATTGTTGGAGAATTCCACTTGGCAGCTACCACGGTGCTTTGAATGTATCTGCAACGGATCTAGACGCCGGCCTGCTTCTATATTGATGCAGTAAGTGAGTATCCTGCCTTTTGTGCACTACATGCAATTCGCCAGTGCCTGGGGTTGTCCAAGAGACCGGGGAAGCTCACCTTCCCAATGCTTGGCATTAAGAACGCTTTTCCTCCAGGTGCTCGCGTGACTTATTAACAAAGCCTTTTCCCCATCTGCGGCCTATTTTTAAAACGGTAAATTTGATTTTATGATATCCTAGCTCAAATGGCGACACGATTTTCAGACTAAACGTTCACGACACTTGCACCTTTGTCACTCATCAACTAGTTTATTTCGCCGTCCTGTGTAGTGCTGGACTTCTTTACCATTTCCTGTGGATATGGTAAACGTGATTCCGCCACTGGACGTTTGCAAGTTAGATTTTTCTGCTCTCCTCTTGCCTTGCATTAGCCAGAAATTGGCAAGGGCTACACTCCTGCCCCTAATCACTGTGCATACATCATCACTCTCGGTAGCATTGCACTATGCTAAAAGCATACTTGCCGCAGGCTTAAACCGTGGAGTGCAGCGCAGTGCGAATTGGAACGATAGGTGCAATACCTTGGCCCTAACGGTCAAAAACCATAAGAGCATAATGCTTCAAGCACGTCTCTACAGCTCATCAGCCTTGGAAGAAGACGAGTAGCGACTTGCGATCCCCGTCGGACAATTGCCGCTTGCTTTCTGGAGGTGCTGCTGGCCCACATACGTGCTACCAACCGCAACAGCAGTAGGACGGGTCCGTCGAGGAAGCGGCGGACGAATATTGTTCGCTATGGTGCTGTGCCCTGGACTAGACGACCTAGCGGTTGTGCTGCAATTTCTTCATAACTGCATGCCCTGCTGCTGTGCGTGCAAAACAGCAGTTCTAGTATTGCTGCGGCCAGCACTCTGGAACCGAATAACCAGCAGCAGCGCAGCAGATACCCAAGCAGCAGCAAGGGGAATTCCAAGAGCGTGCGGATATTCCTGCGGCCAACCTCTTGTTCTTGGATTTCATCTTGCTGCTGGTCGAGCATCTGCTACGCTGCTGCTCCTTATTATGTTCCACCTGTAAAGAAAACTGTGGGCTCAAACTGCGCGCGGGAACGCATGGCACTTTACTTCGCGTTGCCACGCAGTAAAGCGGCCTCATGTCCGCTGGTAAGGGCATCTTTAATTGATCTCGATGGTATTGCCTACTAGCAATGAACACCTATCACTGGAGTGTTGCAATTCCGCAAGACTGAAATGAAGGACAGGTAAAATTCGTGGATTCACAGGCAGACTGTACAGAATAGATGAAACTAGGCAAGCACTTTAAAAGGCTTCCCTCCAAGTGACCCACAGTGGCAGGAGCTAACACTATGTAGGGCTATGTAGGAAATATGCAGCTTAGCTTAACATTCCAGTGCAGCATTCTTCTCTTGCATGTCTCCTAAGCTTCTTTTTCGGCACTGAAAGGGTTGGGCAGCGTTTCTGTTGACGGACCACTGCACACAATGGGCAGTAGTACGTAACAGCAGGAGGCAGCAGGCCGCAAAGGAGATGCTGTCTTTGCAGGCTTGTGGCTGCAGCATCAGCACGAACAGCAACCGCACCCTGCTGCTCAGAAGGGGTTTCCCATGCCTCGAGTGGATGACACAATTTTCAGTTGGGAGAGGGACAGAAGAGTTTCCCATTCCTCTGCTTGTGTGTTTCCCAAGGCCACCAACTGAAAATTAATGGCCTCGGGAATGAGACAGAAACGAAGGAGACACCTAGGAACTCTCCAGGGGCTGCAGTGGAATATTATCCATTCCACTGCAGCCCTTGCAGAGCTCCTAGGTGTGCCCTTCTTCGTTTCTGTCTGAGGGCCAAGCAAACAGACAGGAAGTCAAAAACACTGCAAAGAGGGTATACGGCAGATGGAAACGCAGAGGCGTGGAGAGAATACGAAACAAAACGAAACAGGGAGAATGCTACAGGTGCACCTATAGCACTCGGCGTCTTTGAGTGCCTGCACGTGGCAGGCTCCCAGCAGTTAACTACAACTAACTGCAGCTGCTACACCTAGCAACAACAGCTTCGTTGTTGTTCTGGGTGGCCTGTGTTCGGTGGGTAGAGAGTTCTGGGATGCTGCTGTGGTCTGGAAGGGTGAGGGGGTGAGGTTTGGAACTATGGTTTTAGGGAATACTGAATTACTTACTGCCTAGGGATTCCATGACTACAAGACAGCTGGGGTTCATTCTGGGTTTCACCCTGTGTCCTCCGCCGCAGCATTCTGGTCGTCCCATTGAGTAAATCCTAAATCCTAATCCATACTGCCTAGCTTCAGGAGAAACCTCCCGCGTATCGAGGTTGAAACAGGGTGGGAAACACGGGCCCGAACCCTAACCTAAATGCCGAATACAAGCAGGCGGTCCGCTCTGAGTGTTGGTACTCTACTAGCGTGTTATTCTGCGTTTCTTCAAAGTTTTGTGCGTTAAAAATGAATTGTGGTGATGCCTAAAGATTATTTCAACAGTACCTCCCCTACAAACGAAGGAACGAAATAAGAAGGTACTGCGGCCAAACAGCCCCCCTAGTCTCCGCCTGCCCCGCCGCAGCGACAGCTGATAATTGTGGGGTCTTTCTTTCCATGCAGCAGAAACATAAACAGCATCAAAATCAGCTAAATCTGATTATTCGCTGCAAACGACAGCAGCAACGGAGGCTTCTGCAGCAGCATCACCAGCACAGGAAGTGATCCTGGGCGCGGAGGCGGCCCACCATAGAAATGGAGGGAGACCGCGAGGTGCAGCAGCAGCAACAACAACAACAAAAAGAACAGGAACAATACAAAGATCATCAAGAGAAACACTTAACGCAACAAAAACAGCTGCACGAAGAGCAACGACAGCAACACGAGCAGCAAAGGCAGCAAAGGGGGACGGGGCAGTGTGCGGAGCAGCAGCAAATGCAGCAGCAGCAACAGCAGGCCAGCCGCGAGCCTCAGCAACTGTTGTCATCAACAACTTCTCAACCACACCTGCATCCAGGAGGGCGCCAGCAGCAACACCTGCTGCTTCTGTCCTCTCAGCAACAGGAGACGCAGCAGATGAATCAACAGCCGCAAGTTCCGCAAAAGAAGCAGCAGATTGTTGAGCAGCAGAACGGGAGTGTGCAACACGGGGAGAGAAAAGTGCAGCAGCTACAGATGCAGCAGCAGCAGCAACAACAACAGCTCCAGCAGCAACAACAACAACAGCTCCAGCAGCAACAACAGCAGCAGCAGGATCTACATCCGACGAGGCAACAAGGAGGAGCGTGCGCCTCTAATAGTGCATGTGGAGCAGACAAGCCAACAGAAACAGGAGCACCAGCAGCAACACCACCAGCAGCAACAGCACCAGCAGAAACAGCACCAGCAGAAACAGCACCAGCAACAACCGCACCAGCAGAAACAGCACAAGCATCAACAGCACCAGCAGCAACAGAACCAGCGGCAGCGCCAACAGCACAAGAATCAACAGCATCGGCAGCAACAGCACCGGCAGCAACAGAACCAGCAGCGACAGCGCAAGCAGAAAGTGCACCAGCAGTAACAGCACGAGCAGAGACAGCAACGCTCCATAAATCAGAAACGGCGCAGCCTATGAATACTTCCGCTTTGGAAGAAGCAGCAGCAGTGTCACCAACAACAGAGGAAGCAGCAACGGGGGAAGAAGAGGACGAAGTGGACCCCAGGGAGGAGGCAGCAGCAGCGGCAGCAGCTGATGCTGCTGCAGCATCTGCTGCTGCCCATGGGAGACTTGACCTTTTGAGTGCTACGGGTCTGACCGTTGTAAGTTCTAAACCCTAAACAGCACACCCTAACATGCAAACCCTCAACTGCAAACGCTGTGCCCCTACCGCCGATCCATAAACAGCAACACAGCAACCCTAACCCTAAATCCTAAACACTAAGCCCTGAGTCCTCGCGACTGCGAGGTCCCTGAATCTCAGTTCCCTATTAAACAACACTAATTAGTTATATAGGGTCTAGCGCCTAGGGTTTGGGGTTCGCAGGAGCTGTCCCTGAAGAACGCGAGCTACCGCCTAGCTCCTCCAAAGCCAAGTCTGCGATCTGCATTTTCTTTCCCTTGTCGCTGCCTCGGGGGCATCGTAAAGAACTGGAGCACGTGCTGCAGTAGCAGCAGCGGACCCGCTGCAAGCAGCTCGTCATGTGCTATGGCGGCTGATCCGCTTACGTCTTGTGCTGCTCCTGTAGCTGCTTCTGCCGCTGGTAGCAGCAGCAGCAACAACAACAGCAGCAAGGAGCGTTGGATTTTGAGTGACATTAGCTGCCATTTTCCTCCTCACACCGTCACTGCCATCTTAGGAGGATCTGGAGCTGGCAAGAGTACTCTTTTGTCTCTTGTAGCAGGCCGCCTCCAGCCATGTGACCAACAGAAGCAGCAGGAACAGCACCCCACCAGCACAGACGTACAGACAGCCGAATCGAAGGGGATTGAAAGTGGCAAAGGCAACGGAGGTCCAGAAGCAGCACCAGCAACAAAAGGCGCAGATCACTACCAGATGAGGAGCAAAAACAACGGACTGCAGCTACGTCAGAACAGGGCAAGAGACAAAGATGAGGCAGTGCTGCTGCTGAATGGAGTGAAGGCCCCCAAGGGGTGGAGGCGTTTAGTGGGGTTCTGTCTGCAGCAGGATTTGCTGCTGGTGAAGGAGCTGACAGTGCAGCAGACGCTGCTGCTTGAAGCCAAACTAAGACTCGGAAAAGTCTGCAACAAACAGCAAAGGAGAGAGAGAGTCGAAAAAGTCATACAAATGATGAATCTAGAAAAGTGCGAATACCCCTTCTGCTAATTCTGCTGCTGCTGCTAACCAAGCGGCTGCTGCTGACACAGCTCATGCTGCTGTTGCCAACGCTGCCAATGCCTCTGCTCTCCATATGCAAGCTACCGTGCATGTGCATGTGTTGGGATGCATGTGAATGGATTGGGGTGTATGTGCAGATATTGGGATGTAAGCGCAGATGTTTTCGTGCAGATGTTGTAGTGTATGCGCACGTTTTGGGTTGTATGTGCATCTGCAGGTGCCGACATACAGTTGTGGGGTCTCCCTTCTCTAGAGGATTATCGGGGGGAGAGAGGAGACGGCTGTCCGTGGCTTGCGAACTCTTGCTGCCTAAGCCGTTGCTACTGCTGGATGAACCCACCAGGTCTGCTGCTACTGCTACTCCTGCTGCTCCAGCTGCGAGCTGTTGCTACAACTGCTTCTGAATGCTGCTGCGACCTGCAGACGGTACCGTTGCCAGACGAGCCCACCAGGTTTTCTGCAGCTGCTGTTGCGAACGCCTGCTGCTGTTGGATTAAACCGTCAGATATTTCTGCTGCTGCTGTTGGTGGAGGCGGCTGGGTAGCGCTTGCCTACCGTTAAACAGTGAATTCTGTACTTGCTGCTTCAGCAGCATATTCTATAGTTGCTGTCTTCGTTCGTTTGTTGTTTTGTTCCCTCAGCGGTTTAGACGCGCCAGCAGCATCCCATTTGCTGCGGCTGTTGCAGCAAGTAGCAACAGAAAACGGAACTGCAGTTATCTGCACAATCCACCAGCCATCTCCCCAAGTAATCCGTAAAACCGACGCTTTAAAGCAGAAACCCTGAATCCCCCGCCCTACCCTAGACTACATAGGCCCTAAACCCTGATTATGCACCGTCTATTTTGCAGCAGAGTTGTAACTAAAAGTTGCCTGTTGTAGCAGCGATGTCAGGGTTTGCGTTTCTGCTTGTGGTTTGCTATCCAGTTGTTTTTGTCATTCGGCAGAGTTTTGTTTCTTGCTGAGGGTCGGCTGATCTTCTCTGGGCGGCCGCAGCAGCTACGTGCATATGAAGCAGCTTTGTTGCAGCAGCCTGCGCCTCCTGCTAGAGCAGTCCCAGCTGCCAATGCGCTAAAGGATTCCAACGTTGCAGCAGCAGATTCTGGTTTGCCGTTATCAGCAGCAGCAGCAGAAGCAGCAGCAGAAGCTGAGGCAGCAACAGCCACGCGGGCTGACTGCTGCGTTGCTGAACATTTCTTGGGGCTTGCATGCGGTGTGGGGGCCTCAATGACATTTCCTACACTGGTTGCGCATTTAGAGAAACTTCTGTTGCTACTCAAGCAGCAGCAACAGCAGCAGCAGCAGCAGCAACAGCAGCAACAGCAACAGTTCCACCAACAGCAGGAGCAACAGGGGTGCACCAGCAGCAGCCGCAACAGTACATGCAGCAGCGACAGCGAGTTGGTGCGCTCAGCAGAAAACAAAGGACTTGTCTGCATCATAGAAAACTTCCTTCAGCAGCAGAAACAGCAGCAGCTGCTGCTGCCAGATGCTCAAAAACGACGCCGGGAAGCAACCGACATTGCCTTTGTTCTTGATCTGATATTCAGGGTGTACAGGCACCACGAAACCCTCGTCCTGAGGGATGACTTCAAGGCAATCACAAAAGCAGCAGTTACGGCCGCTGATGCTGCTGCTGCCCCAGGTGGCATTGCTGCACCAGCACACTCGGCGGCAATATCAGTGGAGGCGGCAGCAGAGGCAGAAGATTCAACTGTGCGTCCACTTCATAAGCTAGGCTTTAGGGGTTTTCAGTTTCGCCGTCGGTGATTTAGGGTTTGTGGCTTAGGGTGTTTAAGCTTTATAGTTGAGGTATTGGGTTTTTGGTGCTTTCCGGTTTCGCAGGTAGAAGTGACCGAGCGAAGGCCCGGAGAAGGTGTTGAGCAAACGGCAGCAGCAGGTGAAGCTGCAGCAGTTGAACTGACAGCACTAGCAGCAGGTGCTGCAGACGCAAACGCATCAAATGCAGCAGAAGCAGCTGCAACAGAGGCCCGATCAGAGCCAGCGGCAGGGCGATCTCCTATCCTTCAGGAAGTGTTTGTAGACACGGACCCCACGTCAGCGGCAAGGACTGCAGCAGGAGCAATAGCAGGAGGACCAACAGGTACACCAGGAGGAAGATGTGACAAAGGTTCAGTAGTAGCAGCCAGCGCAGCAGAGCGGCGTCGCGGGCTTCTGGCAGCAGCTGCAGCAATACGTGCGTCTAGCAGCACCATGCTGAAGTTCGAGGTGCTGCTGCAGAGGCAGCTGATGGCGGATGCAAGGGGAACAGCAACGGCAACAGATCTTACTCAGGCGTTGCTGCTGTCGATTGTTGTTGGATCCCTTTACTTTCAACAAATGAAGATCTACACAACAGAAACACTCCACGAAAGAATAGGTCAGCAGCAACAAGAGCAGCAGCAGCCATAGCAGCGGTAGCAATAGCAGCAGCAGCAACAGCAGCGGAAGGAGCAGTAGCAGCAGCACCGAAGCAGCGACTGCTGCTACTCGCAGTGCTTTTCAGACTTAGCTGCTATTGCTCCATTCAATTTTGCTGCTGTTGTTGCTACTGCCTTTTATGTCTCCCATTCTTTCTGGCTTTGTGTCTCTCCGTCGTCGTCTCCTTATCTTGATTTTATGTCTCTGTCAGGAGTGTCTCCATTTATCTGTCCCCTGCTGTGTCCAGCTGTCTCTGTTTTTGTCCATGCCTCTCTTTACCTGGTTTTCGCCTTCTATTTGTGCGTTCTTCTTCTCGATTTGTCGCCTTGGCCAACCAGCAATTCAAGCAAAATAACTGGACAATTAAGTACAATTCAAGCAACATAATAGTTGTTTAAGCGAGTCGTGCGTGTCCTCAGCTCTCCTGTATTTCCTGGCTAGCTACCACCTCTTCTCTCCTGCTTTTACTGCCCTCAACGCCTTCCCCGCCATTCGAGCAGCAGCAGCAGCAGGCAGCAGCAGCAAACTCTTCAGCGCGGCAACATTCCTAGCAGCGACAACTGCAGCCGAATTCCTGATGCAGCTTGTGGCTCCCTTTATTCTTCTAGTTCTGCTGCACATACTGGTTGCTTGGCCAGCAGATATCTGCGTCTTCCTAGTAAACAGCTGCTGCTGCTGATGTTGCTTGCGTAGCTGGAGTTGTTTCTGCTGCATTTGATGCAGTATTTATCTCTGTTATTACTTTTGCCACCTCTGTTGCTGGTGCAGCTACGGCTGATGTTAATGCTGTAGGCTCTGCCGTTGCTGCTCCTGCAGCAACAGCAGCTTCTTTTCACAGCTGTTTCGTTCCACTCTGCGCTCGTGTCTGTATCTGCCACGTGCTGCTTTGGGCTGAACATTTTGTTTGCGTTCTGATGTCTGCGGCTCCTGCTGCTTCCGCTACTAGCTAGCTACTGCTTTTGCTTCCGTATGTGTGTGTTCGCAGGGTGTGTGGCTGTCTTTGCTGCTTTTAACCGTGATATCTTCTTCTTTAGGGCAGTTAATTGCAGCTATCGCTGGAGGAGAGCATCGAGTTGCTTCTTTGCTGCTCTCTGTGCTGCTTATATCTCTATCTCTTGTTGGCGGCTTTTATGTCTCACTTGCGCTACTGCCTGCTTCAACAGCGTGGCTTGTTTACTTGTCTCCTGTTAGCTACACTATTCCCAACCTCCTGCATGCAACCCTGAGGGGACGCTTCCTTACCTGCACGGACAGCAGCAGCGGCACCATCAACGTCGGCAGCAGCAGCCGTTGCCCGAATGGGACGTTAACAGCGCAAGACATTGCAGAACAAGTCTCCTTAGGGTTGCCCATTGGTTTAAATGTCTTTATTTTGCTCATCTTTCTCGTCGTTGTCAAAGGGGTTACTCTTTGCCTGCTCAAGCGGAGACTGCAAATACAGAACTAAGATTCATTTTCCGGCTGCTGCTGTTGTCGCTGCTTCTGTTCTTGTTGGCTATACGGCTGCTGCACACTTGCTGCTTGCGTTGGAGCACTTTGCTGTGGTTCCGTTAGCAGCAGCAGCATCAACAGGTGGTGCTCTAGCGGACACTGCAACAATGACAGCAGCAAAAGCGGCAGCAGCAACAGCAAGAGGTGCAACTCCAGCGGTATCTGTAACAAGAACAGCAACAACAACTGCTGCAGCTCTAGCAGCAATTGCAACGGCAACAGCAGCAGCCACAACAACAGGTGCAGCTCCAGCAGCCATTGCAGCAACGAAAGCAGCAGCAGCTGCTGCAGCAGGTGCGGCTGCAGCAGAAATTGCAGCAACGACAGCAGCAGCAAACGTAGCTAAGACAGAGCTGCGTCTGCTGGAATTTTCCCAAAAGGCGTGAACTATAAACCCTAAGCCGTAAATCCCCACTGCATGTGAAAACCCTAAACCTCTAACCCGTAGTGCATGACAGAAAAGCCCCTAAGTTGTTTAAAAAGATTTAAGTTGTTCTTGGGGTCTCCAGATGTATCCATCTAGAGCGCAACAGGTAGACAGACAGACTCTTAAGGAGGCCCATTGGACTCCCAGCGGACAAACCCTAAAGCAATTTGCATGCATGCATGCAGCAGGAAGAATAGACTTTTGTCGACAACAAAAACAAACATCATACAAAGCTCTGCAAAGACGCCCAAGAGCCCATGTATTCGGTGCACGCGCTCGCTGCACGCAAGCACTGCATGCATGCATGCACTGACTGCATGCATGCACTTGCTGCATGGATTAACTGCATGCAATCGCTGCATGCCTGCACTGCCTGCATACATACACTTGCTGCAGGAACTAAATGCATGCACTGGCTGTGTGCATGCACTGGCTGCATGCAGGCACTGCCTACATGCATGCACTTGCTACATGGATGCACCTCCTACATGCATGCACTTGATGCACGCATGCACTTGCTGCATGAACGCTCTACCTTCTACCTGCATGCATGCACTCGCTGTATGCATGCACAGGCCGCATGCGCTTGAAAGGAGCATTTGGGTGCGGCAGCGGGCCCTCGATGCACGAGAGCCAAACCCTAAAGCCTAAACCCGAGAAGCATTCAAGGGATAGCGGATACGTGCTCCATGTAATTCATTGTGTAGGGAGGAGAAACATAGCCATCTATTTCCCCAGGGCTTGTGCTTCTTTCTCTATCAATAAAATCCAGTATTTGGAGCACCTCAAAGTCTATTGGCGGCTGCTGCTTCTGCGCATTGCTGCTGCTACTGCTGCTGCTGCTGCCCTGTCGCTGTCTGTTGCGTCTCCTAGTGGAGGAAGCAACAAGAACTACAGCAGCAAGAAACGCTCCTAAAGACAGCTTAAACGCTAAACCCCGAGAGTCTAACTTCCTTTCAGTGCTCTCTTTTGCTGCTGCTGCGGCTGCTGCTGCTACTGCTGCTCGCGCTTCTGCTACGTATGCAGAACGGCGTTCAGCTCTCGCTGCTGCTGGATCTTCTGCCTTCCCAACAGCAGCCGCGGCAGCGGCAGCAGCAGCCGCTGCTGCCGCTGCCGCCGCAGCTGCGTTGGCTACAGCGTTGGCTGCTGCTGCTTCTTTTACAGACATGCGGGAACCTTCGCTGCTACTTGCCGCTGCTGCTGCTGCTGCTGCTGCTGCAACATCAGCCTCGGACCCTAGCCCTTCCGCGCTCTGCTCCTCTGCGCACATAAACCCAAACCGCAAACCCTAAACCCTAAATTGAAGCACAAGTGTACTTGAAGAAAACTCTAATCCCCACACCTGTGAGCGGGAACGCCTGGACGGTCGCCAACAGCCAGTCGCCAAGAAACCCTCAACCGTACTAAACCTTAAGCCCTACAAAACCCTAAACCCTTGACTTGCCTCTTTGGATGATATATGCGGTAGACCGGGCTCTAGATGTTGGTTTCTCCTCAGATGCAGCAAAAGAAACAGAAATCCTCTGAGACTGTGCTGCGATTCCTACAGGAAGGAATCCTGCTGCTGCTGCTGCAGCAAGTGCAGCACCATCTGCTCCATCAATCTGGAATCGAACCCGTGGCAAACCCGCAGCAGCAGCCGCTTCCCGCAGCGACAACAACAGCGATTTCTCTGAGCCGCACAGACCCCAGATCCTAAACCCTAAACCCTAAGCCAACTCAAAACCTTGTCGGGGAGCAAATAGGCCCCCCCTTCCCATTCGTCCCCCCCAACACCCAGCAAGGATACGATTTGGGAGTGTCTAGAGTTCGAGGCCTAGGGTTCAGGATTTAGGGTTTGCGCACGAATAGCTTCTCTATTTTCCCCATCTGCATGCAAATGAATATCAAGGGTTTGTCTTGAAGGGTCTGCTCCTCCCACGAGTAGAAACCCTATAGCCTTTCCTTCATCATCCATTGCTGTATGCAAACCACAAACCCGCAACCCTAAACCCTAAGCCCTGAGCTAGACCGGCTCACTGCTGCTTCTGCGCTTCGGCGTGTCGGAGCGGCCTCCGCAGAGGATGTGGCCCCCGCTCAAGGGTTTAGGGTTTAGGGCTTACCGATGAAGGAGAGGGAGTCTTTGAGGCCTTCTCTCTTTTCTAGCAGCTGTATCTCCGGCATCTGCTGCTGCAGCATCAAGAGTTGCAACTCAGACTGCTGTTTCTCATTTGCTACGGCCAGAGCCACTGTCTTCACATCAGGAAAGCCTGCACACAAACCCTAAACCCCACGCTAAACCCTAAACCCCTAGACCTTCAACCTCAGGAAGCGTTGACTGTTTGTGCGTTTGCCATGCGGGTTTTGCGGAGGTTGCGCGTTAAATTAGGGGTTTAGGGTTTACGTGGGGAGTGGATTTCCTGAGGGTTTGTAGTCCAATAGATGCAGCAATCTGTTGCAGAGGAGGGGGAGGGCAGTCGTAGGAAAACCCCCGAGGGTTTAAACCCTGCAGCAGCAAATGCTTCTGCTGCTGATTTTTCTTTTTCGCTGCAAACCCCTGAAACTTCAAAAACCTTCTCTACGCGCACCTCCGCCAAGAACTCCCTCAACAGCGCAACGCCTGCACACAAACCCTAAACCCTAAACCCTAAAACATCAACTCTATACTCTATACCACCATGCTACATGTAGCCTACTTCGTCCCTACAAACCACCCCCAACCCTCTCTCTCCGCAGCAGACAGCCAGTCTAGAGTCTAGGATTTGCAGTGTCATATGTGTAGGGCTTAGTGGTTATGGCATAGGGTTTATGCTGTACCTGTTTGTTGGTCTCCGTCAGTGTACAGGCCAATGACTTCTGCCTTTTCTCCTTGGATTACGCCGAAAAGACTCCCCTTTGTCTCTATAGATGTTTTGCTGTTGTTTCCTGCTGCAGCAGCAGAAGCAGCAGCTAGAGGAGATCCTGCTGCTTGTACAAGGGTTTCCTCATCTAGAGTTATTGAGAACCACATTTGTCCTGCACGTTCGGGCCCCTTGTATCTCCTTATCCTTAAGAATTGTTTTGATTGAGGATTCACCGTCCGGCTGCTGCTGCTGATCCTGCTGATGCTGCTGCTGATGCTGTTGCCGATGCTGCTGATGCTGCTACCTATGCTACTGATGGTGCCAAGGTTGCCAAGGCTGCCAAGGCTGCCGAGGCTGCTGATGCCTGTGTTAGCACTGACATTTCTGCCGTTGCTGCTGGTAATGCTGTTGCTATTGTTGCTGCTGTTGCTGCTGCCGCCGCTAGCACCGGTGCTGCTCATCCTGACTCGGCTGCTGGTGGTGCTTCTGTTGTTGCCGTTGGCGAAGCTGACGCCACTGCTGCTGCTGTTGCTGCCACTGCTGCTGGTGCTGGTGCTGCCTGCCTGCTGCTGGGCGAGGGAACAACCGCAAGAGCAGCAACACACGAGAGTCAGCAACAGCAGCAACCTGCAAGCCCTGCTGCTGCGTCTGCAGCTGCATGCGTTGCTGCTGCAATGCCCATATATTTTGATGTTGCTTCTGCTGCTGCAGTCTTTGCTGCTGCTGCTGATGCTCTTTTTGCTGCTCCTCCAGCTGTGTCTGCGTCTGCGGAACGTAAACATATTGGCTTCGTGGTAGGGGCCAGGAGGCCCCTCCAAGGGATGGATGGTTCCGGAGGCGGGCACGCCCTAAACCCCAAACCCTAAACCCTAAACCCTCAACCCAAACCTGAAACCCTTTGGGGCATTACAAAAATATAAAAGAGTAAAACAGAAGAAAATAATGCGGGCAACCTGGCGAAAACTGGAGACGTATTTCGATGCAGGCGCTCCCGTTGGGGACACTCGGGGCTGCGGTAGACCCTAAACCCTAAACACTAAACCCTAAACCACTAACCCAAAAAACAAAACCGCGGCTATTGAGCAATTTTTCTGTGGATTTAAGGTTATCCAGTCCCTAAGATATTACATATTTACCAGTCAATATGTAGAAGACGTGGTGTACTAAACCCTAAACCCTGAAACCTTCAATGCTAGCACGAACGGGAAGAGGGTTGTGGGCCTCATTGGCGTTTAAGCCACAAACCCTAAACCCTAAACCCTCACACAAATCTACCTGTGCCATTTGTGTTGACCACACAGTGAGAAACATACACTTAGCCGCAACTCCTCTGGTGTTTACGCAACTACACTATCAACACTGCAGGAGGACCAGCAGCAGAAACAACAGTAGTAGCAACAATAACACCCGAAACGCCATCATCAGCAGCAACACCAGGAGTCTCAGCATCTGCGCTCGCCTTAGAAGCAGCGCAAACGTTAGTAATAATAATAACAACACCAACGGCAGCAGCAGCAGTGGCGGCGCCCAACAGCACCACATCCACAACAAGAGCAGCAACACCAGCAACAGCAGCAGCAACAGCAGCAGCACTAGGAGAAGCAGCAATAAAAGAGGCAACGCTCGGCTGTCGCTATTTTATACAGATGTTACTGCCTTAACTTCTTCCCAAGATGTTCTTCTTTTTGCTCGTAACATCTCCTCTTCTTACTCATTTAACAAACACGATTTGCTGCTGCTGTTGCAGCAACTGGCGGTGCTGCAGCACGTGCGCTGCAGCAGCAGCAGCTTCCGTGTCTTCTGGGATAGAGCAGCACAACCCCTTGCTGCTGCTGCCGTAGGTGACACCTCCTTCCTCCGTCTCTGCTTCCTTCACCTCGCCGACGCAAAGTGTTCTAACGCTGTATTCGACATCGTAAACCCTAAACCCTAAACCCTAAACCCTTAACTTCCTTTGCAAACCCTACAGTGTGCTGAGGGGTGAAGCCAAGCCATTCTTGAATCGCCCGGCAAGACACTGCTGCTGCTGCTGCTTCTCCTGCTGCTATGGCCACAACGGCTTTGTTCACTTTCGAAGGTTTCGGGTTTAGGGTTTAGGGTTTAGGGTTTAGGATTTGCGGTTGTGCAGGTCCCTCTGCTGTACCCGCTGTTGAGAGTATACAGCGCATTGGAGTTGTCAGATATCTTCTGGCGGCTATCAATCCTCTCGATTCCCTTGTCTCGTGCTGCTGCTGCCGCTGCTGCTGCTGCTGCTGCGGGGGTGCATCCCACAGCCGCAGCAGCAACACTTGCTGCAGCAGCTGCTGCAGCGGAGGTGCCAGCAGCTGCAGCAGCACCCGGGCCAGAGAGAATTCTTGCATTTAAGGAGGAGCTGCTGCTGCAGTTGAAGCGCAGGCACCAGTCGCTGCAGAGACAGCTGGGTTTGCAACAGCAGCAGAAGCAGCATCAACAGCAACAGCAGCCACAGGAGCAGCAGCATCAGCAGCACATGCCGCAGCCACAGCAGCTGCTTCTGGTGTACAGAGTTTTGTATGGCGCAGCGAAGCTCAAGATGAAATTCTCTGAGGCCCCCGAAATCTTCTCTTTAGTTGTTGAAAAGGGTAGGAAAGGTTTGAGGGTTTAGGGTTTAGGGTTTAGGGTTTAGGGTTTGAAAGGCGTCCAACGTTTCACGCCACAAGCTCCGAATTGACATGTCTGGTTATACAGTTAAGGTTTAGGGTTTAGGGTTTGTGGCATGATGTGGGCTTTCTCTATGCAGCATGCGAGTTGCTGGAGCTCAGCGAATCTCCCGAGGGTTTAGGGTTTAGGGTTTTGACGCCCTCGCAAATTGTTCGAATAGTTTGGGCATGCGCAGCACTGCAAACCCCCGAGGCGACAGTCTTTTTCAAGGCCAGAGAACGCATTCTTGTAAACAAAACCCTAAACCCTAAACCCTTAACCCTAAACATCAGCGCTGTGTAGGGTTTAAGGAGGAGGGTTTAAAGCTCAGGATTGCTTTAGTTGCTAAAACCCTAGACCCCTGACCTGCGACGACGAGCCACCTGCATCGGCTGAGCTCTACCTACCTAGGGTTTAGGGTTTGGGGTTTAGGGTTTGCTCTCAGGGTTGCATCGATAGTTTGGCATATGAAGAAATTGAAGTTCTTCTGCAAGTGTATGAAGCTGTTGGCATGGAGTAAGCCTCAAACCCTAAACCCTAAACCCTAAACCCTAAGTGTCAGTAATCATAAAGAGGGTTTAGGATCGATAGTCGTAGGATTGAGAATGATAGCTATTTGCAGTATAAACCCTAAACCCCAATCCCTGAACCCTATACCCTAAACAATTGCCCTGGTGTTTATACAAGCTGATGGCGTGCACACCATCTGCGTCTGCATCCATAGGGTTTAGGGTTTAGGGTTTGCGTCGTTCTGCCTTCAGAGACAACCAACTGACGGCCACACTGCAGCAGGAGTTGCAGCGTATTGCTCCTCTAGCTCGTAAGGCCGCTCCTAGGGTTTAGGGTTTGAATTTCCATAGATCAGGGTTTAGCGTTGGGGCTGAGAGTGGAGGAGGGTTTAGGGTTTACGGTTTAGGGTTTGGGGTCTGCAGGTGGCACGAAGATTTCTGCTCCTCGCCGCCGCAACTTCAAGAGAAAAGAGAAGAGGGTAAATGTCTACTTCCCTATGCTGCTGCTGTTGCTGCTGCTACTGTCGTTGCTGCCGCTTCTGCTGTTGCTGCTGCTGCGGTTGCTTGTTCTGCTGTTGCTGCTCCGTGTGCATTAGAAACACCATTAGCAGAGGCAGAAGGTACAGCAGCAGCAACAGCAGCAGCAGCAGCAGCAACAGCAGCTGTAGCGGTGTTGGTTGCTGTTGCTGTGCAGGTGAGCATGACGGATCCCATCCCGTCGTACTCCTTGGCCGCCTAAAAGTCAAAACCCTAAACCCTCGAAACACTAAACCCTCGAAACCCTAGACCCTCGAAACCCTAAACCCTCGAAACCCTAAACCCTCTAAAGATGAGGGGATTTTGTGGCAGCTAATGCTGCATATAGTGTCTGAGGTGTATCTGCACCTCTTCTTTTTTTATTTATTGTAATGTACAGACAACTATTATATATATTTATTATAATTTATTGTTAATAGCCTACATATTAATAAAATAAATTAAATAAATTATCCTTTTATCCATCTAAAAATGTCCCTCTATAAATATAATGTATTCTCTAAACACTGCTGCTGCTGCTTCTGCTGCTGCTGCTGCTGCTGCTGCTGCCCGACAAAGCCAGGCGCCCATGCGCTGCTCAAACAGCAACCGCAGTTGCTGCTGCAGCAACAGCAGCAGCTGCTGCTGTTTGCGGCAGCATGAGGCTACACACACAAAGTAGGAGCACCGCATGACGCTGCTGCTGCTGCTGCTGCTCCTATGTATAGCAAAATGCATCTCCTTCTCCACTGCTGCAGTAGCAGTGCTGGTGCGTTTGCTGCAGCGCCCCACCATGCACAAGCTGCAGTGGGAGGTTTTGCTGCTCCATTTGCTGCTGTTGTTGCATCTGCTGCTGCTGTCTATAGAACACTGACACTGTTGGCCATTGCTGCAGCATTTATTCATGTATTGCTGCTGCTGCTGTTTCTTCTGTCTTCTATCCATCGATGGCAGTACTGCTGCTCCTTCATCAGCTGTTGCAGCATCTGCTGCAGCTGTTGCTACTACTGTATCTACTGCTGCTGTATATATAGGTATGCAAACATGCTGCTGCTCCTGCTGCTGCTGCTATTTAATTTGCTGCTGCTGCTGCTGCTGCTGCTGCTGCTATGTATCACTTGATGAGTCACTGCTTTCTGATGTCTCTTTCTCGCTCGCCTCAACAGCATCAAAGCAAGCAACATTCTCCCGCATGCGTTGTGTGCGTGTCCCTGTACACCACAAACCCCAAACCCTAAACCCCAAACCCTAAACCCTAAACCCCTAAGCTTAGCCATACTTGGAGGACAGGGGCATAAGACAGGACGGAGACGAACAGCAAAGGGTCGAACAAGAAAAGGAGAAAGTAGAATTATAGAGGAGACAGTCATAGCACAGAGTGTAGATAATATCTAACAAGAGACAACAGATGAAAAAGGGAAAAAAGATATAAAATAGAAAGAGAAGATAAATATGAATAAGATAGATTAAAGGGAATAAAAAAAGGATAATAGGAAACAGAATAAATAAAGTATAAAAAAAAAAAAAAAAAAAAAAG